CCATGGATGTCTCTAAATCTTAACCAAATTCATAATACATTCTCTAAAAATCTGTTCAACGCTATGAGGTTTGTTATGTCTAACATCTCCTGCAGATTACAAAAAAGGGCTAATTCTGCAGCAGGACACCAAAAAACTGAAACAACAAAAACTCACGATATTTCTCCATATATAGCTAAACTACAGTGCTAAGGTAGTATACATACTAGATAACTCAATGGTATTGGTGGAGAGAAAGTAGCACCTTAGAGACAGCCCTAACTTAAAAAATGTCTAATGATCTTTTTTTTTTGTTCCTTGTTATTGTGATTAGGTTACTAGATCCAAATTATTCATTCATATAAAATTATTTAGGAAGCCTTGTAGTATAAATGAAAATGTCTGTATAACCAAAACACCACATTGGATGTTTGACAGGCAAAAAATAAATTAATTTGATTAAATTATATGTAATCTGATAATATTTGGTCTGAAAAACATGCTAGTGTGTGTGTTTATAAATAATGTAATTGCAAAGAGCTGTGGGCCGGCATGCCAGATGTCAACTCTTCTGCTGTAGCTTTTGGGCATAGAAGTCCCTGCAGGCCTCACAGCAGCGTTGATACCACCGCATGTCCTGACATAGATTCTTCTCCCGTATCACTCTACAGTACACTGGCCACTGATCACCCAGGCATTTGAAGGTCAGGGCAGCTGTAAAACAGAGCATACAAATTCAAATAGCTACACATATCAGAGCCATCATTAGCAGAAATACATTTCAATGATTCAAGTGGAGGTATTTTGTACACTCAGTTTGACTCATTTATATAACTTTGTGGAATATAAAAACAAAGAAATATATACAGTAACCCAGGAGTACAGTAAATAAACAGTATTCTTGTTTTGGTGTATATCTAGATGTTCCCCTAAGCTGCATGTATTCACAGGTGGGATCTCTGGAAGGTGATTAGATTGTAGGGGCATTATAGCTGACTTGCTCTGGGGAAGTGGGTCCTGGCTGGAGGAGATGGGTCACTGGGGACTTAATCTAGAAGATTACATCTCTCCTCCCTGCTCCTCTCTTGACTAACTGCTTCCCCAGGGACATGAGATAAACAGGTTCTCCTCTGCTACACCCCTCTTCCAAGCCATCCTGCCTTGGAGCCAACTAACTGTGACTGAAATCTCTACACCCTGTACCAAAGCAAACCTCCTTTAAATTGAGAATGTCAGGTATTTTGTACAAATAATGAAGAAAGTATCCAAGACAGGTTTTTGGTAGCAGAGAATTGGGGTTATTGCTTTGGCTGTTCTCCAACCATGTGGTTCAGAAATCTTTGGTTTGCAGGAGGCATTTGGAAAAGTTTAGAGATGCCCACTAAAGAAGCTTTAGAAAGCATTGAGCCAAGTTTGAAGGAGATTCTGGTCAGAGCTCAAAAGATCAAAATGCTGACAGACTAACTACATGAGGGCTCACTGGAAACAAGGACTGCATTGGCAGGTGGACTCTAGGGAATGTGTGTTATGCTTTGGCAGGAAATGTGTTTACAGTTTGCTCATGTACTGTGACTTTGGGAGACAGAGATTGAGTACAGCAGACTAATCTGGAGGAAAAAATTTAAAGGAAGTCCAATGTTCAGGCTGTAACACAGTTGTTACTTGTTTGTTTTATTGTAATATACTGTGAGAAACAGGAGAAAAACATGGTTTAAAAAGTTTTCAGTTTTGCCACAAAGAAGCCTCTAGAAAGGATGAAGTAGAGGAGAGCTTGGTTGCTAAAAAGATTAACATTAAAAAGAAATTAAGTACTTTACCACAGAAAACATGGCTTAAAGGTATCACAGAAATCAGCAGTCCCCTATCTACTCTACCTTTCTGTAGACAATAAGTTGCAAAATGAAAGATTTGGCATTAAGAAGAGAGGTGTAGGGCACCTGATGGAGAAGGAAAATGGCAGCCTAGGATGGTGATTCCACAGTGTCTAATTTACAGTCCTCAACTGTCTAGGCACTCATAGGCCAGCACAGACACAATTCAAGGGGGCCTGGCTACTGCTGCAGGTGGTGGCAGACTTTGGTGTTATCCACATGGTGTTGGTTTCACAGGCATGCAGAATGCAAGAGTTGTGGGGTCAGGAAGGCTTCCACCTAAGTTTCAGAAGAAGGCTTGGGAGGCCAGGCAGTGTACCTCTGAGAGGGCAGTGTCTGAGTGAAGCTGTGAATGAAGTGTAGTGAAATGAATGTAGTGAAATTGTAAGTAAAATTGAAACTACAGTGGAGACCCCAGAAAATGAAGAAGCCAGGAACATACAACATTGAGGGAAGCCCCAAAGAACGAACAAAGCCAGCCCTGAGATCTGCAACCACAAGAAAAATTGTTGGGTTGGGGCCACACAGACCTTTTGGAGTTCACATCTCATCACAGCTTGTCCTGGGTACTGGGCATGGAACTACAAGTTTTAATGTTTGCCTTCCTTTTGTTTCATTGGTTTGTATCTCCCCATTCTACCTTTGTTGTTTTGTGGTGTTTTGAGTAGGAATATCTACCCTGTGCCAATGTATGCTGCAGTGCTTAACTTTCCTTTGATTTTTACAGAGGGGCATAGGTAAGAGTTTCTCTTAACTCTCAGAGGAGACCTTGGCTAAGACTTTTCAGCAATGCTAAAACTGTTAGGATTCTCGTAACTCTTAGAAATGATAGAATAAGTACATTTTGTATAAAATGATGTTTCTGAGTTTCTTGAGGGCCAGGGGCAGAATGTTATGGTTTGTATCTAGATGTCCCCCAAGAACTTCTTATGTTCATAGTTGGCACTTTTGGTAGGTGACTGGATTATGGGACGTATACCTGGCTTGCTTCTTGGAGGTAGGGTCTGGTAGGAAGAGGCGAGTTGCTGGGGGTGTGGCCTATAAGGGTTTATCTCCCTCCCCAGCTTCTGCCTTCACTCTTTCTGCTTCCCAGCTACTGTGAGAAGAGCAGCTTCTCTGTTCTGTTCCTCTGCTATGCCACCCTGACTTGGAACCACCCAAATGTGGACAAGAATTATACAAACTAAGAGCCAGAATAAAGCTTTCCCCCTTTAATTTGTGGATGTCAGTTATTATGTCAGTGATAAGAAAGGATCTAAGACACTTAGGAACTTTTTAAAGGTTACTAAAGTTAGATATCCCAGATTTTATGTGTGATACTTCTAAGCCCCAATTTTATACTTTTCAGTTAATCTTCTTTTGTATTTTGTTAGAAAAGATTAAGAAAGTATTCAATATATCTACATTTATGGAAATGCAAATTGATCACTATTGCTATGGGTGCAATTTAAAAGAAATGGAAAAATGAAAATATGCTCACATTTACTTCATATTCCTAGATTCTTGCACTACAAGTGTGTGAAAATTAAAGCTAATCAGTGATTGAAATGTACAGAAAAAAAGTGTTCAAAATGAGACTCATATAGAAATTTACTGTGCAGATTTGACCTCAGTTTTTTGTTTTTGTTTTTTTTTCTGGAAGAAATAGCATATTCTAGCATGTATATTGAGCCAGTCTTGCTGCATTTCTTACTTTTGTCACTATTCAGCTCATTATTTTACTTTTAAAAATATGAGATTTTTCAACCATTTTACTTCTGTGATTTGGGTATACCTTCAACAAATAATAAAGAATGAAAATGCAGTTTTACTGAAAATCTAAATTCTTCTCTCAATCCATTATTTTCTGTCAAATGATACTTCAAGGACTTAAAGCAAGTACTAGAGAACAGGGATGACATTGTTATTGAGTACATGGATAGGGGGCATCTGCTTTAAGATTGCTAGATTTTGTTTTAATTAGTCTTATTTGATGGGCACTGATTATTTCTCAGGAAAGTTAATTATTTGGCTTGGAGAAGAGGGTTTTTATATCTCCATAAAGAATTAAACTTTTCCATTTCACTGAATCTTATGCTTCAAAAAGTGCATATGATAAAGCTTCTTGCTCTTTGGCAATATTATTCTGCATGATTAAAATTGATCTCCTATAGATTATATATGCAGGCTAAAAGTAAAGATGTGAAGCATAAATTAACCCACTAGCAGTAGGTAGGAATGCTGTTAAAAGTCACTAATTTTCATAAAAATAAAGCCTAGTTCATCCATTAGTATTTATTATATAAGTACTGACTACATCTACATAAAATATATACTCTAATTCCTGGTGATAGTTTAGATCAAATAACAGAAATTGAGAGTAAATATGAAAGCATTTCATAGTATAAAACTACATAAATATTAAAATATTACTAGTATTTTAAAATGTATTATTCTATCTTCCAAGATGACCATCAAAGTACTTCTTGTTCCATGGTGTAGATTTACATATTCATTCTTCATGAAAGGCTTTATAAAATTCTATGTCTCTCCAAAAGAGAATTGGTATCTGAGACTACATGGAAGTCTATTAACCATGGGGGATACAAGGCTTACACTACAGCTGCACCTACCCATTCTGTCATGGGACTGGTTTGAAACTAAAATTTGGTTGAATCCTGTAACCCTTGGTGCATTGACCTCCGGTGTCATGTCCCCAAGGTTAGTATTTACTGGACCTGCCTCCTAGTGAACACCTTCAGAAATCAGACAGTTTAAGATTATTTTACCCACAAGGCCATTTAGACTAAATTATATTTACATAGATCCAAGTTAGAGCTATGTAATTAGCATAGTTCTCAGACTTTAAAGTGATATACAAATTGGAAAAAGTTATAAGCATTTCTGTTTCTAAAACCGTCTAGTTTTTGGTCTGCTTACCTAGTCTGGGTGATGTTATTGTATTTACATTAATCTTCTCATTGCAAGGCTGAAGGTGGCATGGCCTGTAAGCTGCAGGTTTTTCTGAAGAAAAGCATTCATTTCCATGTCTTCCTGTGATCTTATGCATGCACTGGATAACGCGGGACTGCATTCCCTTGCCACAGGTTATTGAGCACTAAAAGAGATAGAAGGTTTGTTAAAATTTCTTCTGTTGTTTCCTTTTCCTAGGCTGTGAGCCATCTTCTTCATATATTTCTTAAACATGAACAACACCATCCAGAGTTGATGCAAAACAGTCAGAAAGATTCACACCAATGCTCTTAGCTTGGGTGTCAACAATTACTTTGAGAACCTCCAGCTGCCCTAGAGCAGAACTTGGGGGCTGAAGGACACTGGAGATTCAGGAAGAAAAGTGGAAGTGGAGCATGTGACTTGAAGGGATGAACAGCACCTTTTTCTTGGTCAGACAGTTCTCCAAGATCCAGTACCTGGTTTGTAACAAATAATTGATTTATTTTTCTTTACTTTAGACACATATTCAAATTGTGGAACTAAATCCTTGTTCATGTCTTTCATATCTACTCAGCCATTTTAATTGTTTTGGGCTTAAAATGTGTAGCAAAAATGCTGTCTTGGTTACTTTTCTCCCATTGCTGAGACAAAATACCTGACACCCAAAATTAAGGAAAGAAAGGTTTATTTAGCTCAGTTTGTGGAGGTTTCAGTCCACACTCGGCTGGCTCCAAGGCAGAGTGGCACATGGTAGAGGGCAACCGTTCATGGTGGGGGAAGAGAGCAAAAGCAACAAGAGCAAAAAGGGGAGGAGTGGCAGCAAGCAGCCTTTTTCTCTCCCTTACATTATATGCAAACTTCCTGCCCTGAGGCAGGTGTAGCACTTACACCCATGAATCAATCATAAACTCTAGAAGCCTTCCCCATGACTGCATGGGGCTTTGGGGGGACATCCAGAGCCAAATCATAACAAATTCCCATTTATCAACTTGATATATTTATTAACTTTGATATATTGTTGAGATAATTGCTCTTTCTTGGTAGATTAAATGACATCCATTGTTATGCTGGTAAAAATATTCAAAACCTGGGTTTCTCTAATAAAATGAACTTTTAGTGGATTCCTTGCACTTTAGTTAAGTGTAGTTTATATTCAGTTCAAGGATATTTGTTTTGGCAAGAAGTATATTTGTTATACAATAGTCTTTTACAGAGAACATTCTTGGATCCATGCATATTATTAGATTTCATTTGTGACACAAATAAAGTGATGCTAATTTGGCTAAGAAAATATAATTATTTTATGGTACCGTATTATTTTCTGTCTGATAAAGATTTAACCATATTTTGTTAAAATGTTCATTTGTTTATTTAGAACTATTCAAATAAAATCTTAGTACATGATAGTCTAAGGAAAATTGATAAATGCTTTAGCATTTAGATTGCCAGTGGCAATCTTTTAAATATATAGACCATAAGATTTTTAGTGTTTATGTTTTCTCTGTACTTTATAAATACCTGATGAAATTAAATTCTCTATGGTAATATTTCCTCCATGATTACCAGCAAGCTCATCTCTTCTTATTTTTATTTCCGTAAGGATTTGCACAAAACCTTGTTATCCTCAAACCAAGTCCATATTACTTAAATTGTCTTTAATTCCCTGTCTTCTAGAGAATCCACATTAACCTGGTATGTAACTTTCAAAGTTTATTTACATATAGACTCTCTTCAGACAAAAATCACTGGTTATGTAGTTCACCAGGGCTTACGAGACAAAGCTCAGTATATGAGTATCTTTGGACTATCTTTTATCTACTTCATTACTGTTATTATTATGATCACTATCATCATCACCATCATTAGATTTTTTTGAGACAGGATCTCACTATGTAGTCTATGCTGGCCTTGAACTTTCAGTGATCCTCCTACCTCTGTCTCCTGAGAGTTGGGATTACAGGCATGCACCAAACAGCCAGCTCCACTTCCTTTTAAAAAACTGTATGTTTTATTATAAACAAAGCACACCAATGCAATTTGCTTTCCTAATTCTACAGTTGTGCTCATATTATTCTTTCTAAAATGCCTTGCCTCTTTTAAACACACAATCTCAGATTCACCTCCTTCATGAAAGCGTCCACATTACCCCAAATACCTGGGCATAGTTATGCAGTAGTTACTGTTTCCCCACACACTGAGACTACAATTCTGGAGAGATTTAGAAAACGTGTATATATGTATATATGCATAGAATTCTAAGCCAGTGCTCTCACATGGGATTTAGTAGTCTGAATTAAAGCAAACACAGTTGATTATACAGTACAGCCTGAATTTGGAAATTCCTGGTCAGATAACTGTTCTCTTTTGTTTGGCTTGGTGTTTCTGAGGGAGTTTTTGCTATGTTGTTCAAGCTGATTTCAGCCCAGTAATCTCAAGTGATCTTTCTCCTCAGCCTCTGAATAGTTGGGGTTATAGGCACACACCATCACACCTGGCTAATTGATCTTCAGAGTGTTAATTTTTAAATATTTCTGCATGATATTTTTTGTATCTGATAAATGGTTAACTTTCCATAAAGAGAACTAACTGTTTCACCAGGTCTTAATCATTCAAAACCTCCATGTTCAGGTCCGGGGATATAGCTTAGTGGCGTAAGTGCCTGCTTGGCAAGTGCAAGGTCCTGAGTTCGATTCCCGGTATCAAAAAAACAAAAAACAAACAAACAAACAAAAAAAAAAACGAGAATAGGGTACAGTTTTGGGCTGGGGATTTAGCTTAGCGGCACAGCGCCTGCCTGGCAAGTGCGATGTCATGAGTTCAATTCCTGGTACAGGAAAAACAAACAAACAAACAAACAAAAATCTCCATGTTCGTAGCACTTCACAAAATGGGTGCAATTATCTAAACCAAGACATAAATGTTCCTTAGAAACTATTTTTCAAGAAATGTGAACTAAACTAAAAGCTTTAAATAGATGAATTTGCCAGGCATGGTGGTGCATGTCCATAATCCCAGCACTTGGAAGGCTGAGGCAAGAGAATTGCCATGAGTTCAAGGCCAGCCTGGATGACATAGTGAGACCCTGTCTTAAAAAATAAATAGATGAATTTAATCTGATAAGATAAAGAATGTTCTCAATATTTCAAAGAAACTCAACAGTCAGTCACAGGCTAGTCTTGACTATATCATTTAATCCCATGTAGTCTAGTCAAAAGACATGAGCACACAGAAGTAATAATTTTAGTAACATCATTTTCAAGAGTGAAATAACAATAGACATATGAAAACAAAAATTATATAGTTGTAACAGATAATGGCTGAATACTTCCTTTCATGAAAAACTGAAAAGAACACATGTTGTTACAGCCCTTGTGGAAGTTAAGTTTCATAAATATTTGAGCATACCCTGAAATAACTATATTACTGAGGAAATAATGGAAGTTCAGTAATTCATTTTACTAAAATAGTATCTTTACTGCTTTTGACATTGATAGAACAAGCTTCATTATTAAATTAAATTTTATAATACCTTTGACATAATTTTTATTAGAATACTTTCATAATAAAAATCAAAATCTTAATGGTAGTAATAATCATTTTCTTCATAAAATATAATTCTGTAAAACTTCTATTTCAAATATGTGAAAATAAACATATTTGAAATGCAACCATTAGAACTGCAAGATATTTGATAGACTAGTTCTTTATTACAAAAGACAAATTAAAGAAGGATCATAATTTTCCTGGGTTAATAGCTGGGTATAAATAACTCATTGTTTTATCAAATGATATCATTCTGATTTAAAGCCAGCATACACTTTTTAAAAAGCCAAAATAATTTTGAATTTGAAATTTAGTACACCTGATTTTTTATATTATCTCTAGCAAGTAATACCCCTGCACTTATTTTTCTTTGTGTTAAGCAAGGCATTGCCATGCATCATAGCCATAGAGTCTAGTCTAATTTCTGTGGAAGTAAAAATTCCAAATAATTCAGTATTCTATATTACAGTGTAGAAGTAAGAGTAAAGGCTAATCTTATTCAGTGTGCCATTTAACAGTGGTGTGACATAATTTCCATCAAAAAACCCTCAAAACTGTAATTTGCTCCAATGTCTCTGAATACTCCATCATTTATCAGGTTTTCAAATATTTATTGAATACCCACTATGTTCAGAGTCCTCTGCAAAAAATAAAACAGCAGAGATTGTTTATACTATCAATCTGGATCTCAAATCTTATTGAATAAAACTTTATGAACAAACACAATGACATACAATAGATGTACTTAGAAGCAGATTACTAACTGCTGTAGGGGCTGGATAATTTCACATAATTTTAGCCAACTGGCTAATATTTAAATAATCAATTGTACTACAGAGCAGCTGTTTCCTGGTTTGTGATCAAAAGGAACAGGCAGTGTGACTTGTGAAAGCTTTCCTAATGGAGAAAACTAAGATGGATAAAGAATACAGTAAAGTTTTGATCAAGAGGTTTTGTAATTCAACGGTATTACCAGGAAAGGGTTCATGGAGAAAGTGACCAAGATGGGTCCCATAAGAAGTGGGGAGAAACCTTAAATGCAATTCTTTTGATTGCACATATCATTTTCACTACTCTATATACATCAGAAGCTTTTCACTTACACTTGTTGGCTTATAGTTCTTTCTACTGTGCGCACTGTATGTTTTATACACACATTCTGGGTTATGACATTCAAACTGTTTAATAAAAAGTGTGAAAGCATGGAAGGAAAGTGAAGTCAGGGTTTCTTTAAAGCCTGGGTCAATTTCAGTGTCTGTCTTCTCTTTACTTCCTTCTCCTTCTCACAGTCTTCTCCTCTAATAAATTTTAATTCTCATCTTCACACATGTGTAGAGTAAATTTAAAATATATTGAAACAAGGTGACACTGCAGTCTCCTACTAAAAGCCAAAATGATGAAATGTCAACATCAATTTACCACTAGCTAGTAAAGAAACACAGGGTGTACCAGATAATAAGCCACTGATATTTCTTTTGCAAGGATAATTTACTGACTAGAGTGTTTTAAAAAGAGACGTTGAGTTGTCTGAAAAACATTCTGTTTCCTAAACAGTTTAATATTGCTCAGATGGCCCCTTGAAACAAAGTGCCTCATAAATCAGTTCCATGAATGAAGAGTCTTTCATTTTCCTTGGCAGCACAATTATGATATCTCAGACTTATAGAGTTAAAAGAAGCAGTAATCTTTAGAACAGATTTAAACAGTTTAGAAAATCGCTCATAATAATTTTAGAGTAAAATAGACTTTTTCTTATAGTAACCAAGGCACACACAAAAAATAATGTTAGTAATCACTCTGCACCACCAAAAAGTAAGTCCTACAGTTTCTGAAAATAAAATTTATTTCATTGTCTTAGTGATATTCATTTCATTCTAAGAAAATTATGGTCTTCCCTGTTCTCAATGACACGTGTATAATATATTTAGATAATTTC